TTCCTGCGAGTTCTGCTTCTCTTTTCCAGCTTTCCTTTCGCATGAGGTTTGTCTGAGTATGGCAGTCCGGGTGTGAACGTGGCTCGGCAGCTAGAAAGCAGTGCCCGGCTCTCAGCCAGCGTGATGGAAATGTTCTTTTCTGCTCCATTTGGGGAGAGATTTTTTCCAACCTCCATGCTACGTGCTTTTGCTTTCATTCTCACTAAATTAAATACCTGAGATTTGCACCCAGCTTAGAGGGTGCAGGTGAATTTTGCTGTTTTTCCCAGTGAAGTGCTTGGGAGGGCGATTCGGTCTGCTGGATCACCTCTCCAAACGTGCCCGTGAGCCCAGCTGCCCTCCTTCCCATCTACCGCTGCTGGGGCCGCACCACCCTCCTGGGGAAGGGGTTCCCCCACACCCCATCCCATCCAAAACCCTGGGGCTGCCCTTTGTGGCTGCTGCCCCATGTTGTATCACCTGCTACCACCTTCTTGGATGGAGCGTGTTGCCGTCCCGTTTGCAGTCCCCCCGGGCACACAAGCATACAGTTCTGGCTCTGTAGGGCATTGCTGCTTGAGTTTTCCTAACATTTGTAGTATCTGTGGGTCAGGGAGGCTGGAGCAGCCTCTAGGTTTATTATAGCATGAGGCCGAGTGGATTCTGGGCTTTTTGTGTGTTTGGGTCAGTAGGATGAGCACTGGGGAGGACATGTGCTGGCAGCCTCACATGGCAAGAGGTTTAGCTGCTGTGGCACGCATGGCCGTTGAGAAGCCGCCGGGGGGGGGGGGTTTGAGAAGATCGCTGGGGCTGTGGTCGGGGTTCCTGAGGCTTGAGCACTGTGCTGCCTCTGGCTTTTTGCAAGCCTCACCTTTTGCTTTGTGTGAGAAGCTGCTTCCTGTTTGTGTGCTCTACGATGGCCCCCGGCATCTGCTGTGCCTGCACAGGGCTTTTCCTGTGCACCTTCCCTTTGAGCAGAAATGCCTCAGCGTCAGAGGTGGGGGGTGGGACAGTTTCACTTTTTTTTAGTTTTTTTATTTTTTTTACTGTGTGTCTTTCTCTTACAATCTCTGAAGTGTTTGGACATGATGCTATGTGTTTATGTCTTTTGCAAGCTTCTGGCAGTTGCTTATTCATGTTTTCAAGGTTTTCTTTTGCTAAAATATATGATGAAGGCTCACGAAGCTGCTCTGTTGGAGCTTTGTAACTCTGGACCCAAAAAGTGTCTGCCTACAAATCTGGGGCCATGTGGATGGCTGGAGTTGCAAGTTCACATAGCTCCGTCATACCTGCCTGTTTTTAGCAGGGGCTCAGTATATGGTGGTTCCTAGGTCAGGCAGTCACTTTGAACAGAAGCAGAAAATACTGAGATGGAGTGAATCGGGCTGGAAAATTTACCTAGTAAACACAAGTAGGGATACAACTTTGGCCCGTGGGACAGCACTCTCAGCAAACTTCGCATGCTTTCTTGGCATCAGCAGATCACCTGAGTCAGCATCCTTGGGAGACTATGGCCTTGGGGCTGCTTGCTGTCCAGGCAGTCAAATTTTGGTCAAAATTATTTAAAACTAGCAACTGGAACAGTGACTCTGGTCACTGGCTGGAAAGCCTGTGTTTGCAGACTGGGCTTTAGCCTCATCCTGCTTGGGAAGTGAAGGCATCGATTCGCAGTGGGTGGTATGCTGCTGTTGCTTTCTGTCAGCTACATGGCTTTATGGGGTCGAGTTTGTTTTAACTGTTCTGTATTTGAAAGCAGCCTATTTAAGTTTCTTACATTTTAATATTCTTCCTGACACCAGTGAGTGTATTTACAGGGTGATTTGTGTCACGCCTGTGTCAGAAGCGGCTGCCTTGCTGTGCCAGTGCCTGGTGTACCTTCTCACTGACCTGCATGTTGGCTGCGTCCCTCGGGGCAGCATTTGCAAGAATGTGTGCTGCCCTTAAAACTGATTTGATTAACTAGAGGTTGGAGCGGTACACATCATTTCTCATTAGTGTCCTTCAGGACTCTGACATTGTTAAATCTCTGTCTTCTGCAGCTGTTTTTTGTCATGAATGTGTTTTCCTCTCCCCTCTTTTCCTTGCTGACGTTCCGGCCTCCTGAAGGCAAACAAGAGCAAGCACTGGCAGGATGAGCTGTCCTTGTTTGGCCCTGGGGTCCGGCGGGTGCCAGCCTGCAAAAAGCCCTGCTCGCAGCGTCCAAACGCTTGTGGCTGTCCTTCCCCAGCTGGAGCTCGCAAGCCGCCAGCGGGAGATTTCCCCCCGTAAATTCGCCTAGATGGCAAACTCTCGTTTCCTCCCCCCCCCCCCCTTTACGCTGTGTGTGAGTGGGTTCGAGACACTGAAAGCACCTTTGTTCGTTAAACCAGAGAGCATCCCCTAGGCTGGTGGGACTCGCCGTTGTTTCTCAGGGGTGGCGACTGGGAGCGGAGAGCGCGGCTCGCCCCGGCAGGAAGGGGTTTTGCGTGGTGGGACGGCGGCCGCCGGGCGCCTGGGCGCGGGGCTGTCCTGGCAGGGCCCCGCGAAGGGATGTGCGGCTTCCGCCCCGCTGCTGGCGGCGGGGTGCGAGCAGGGCAGGAAAATAACGTCCCCCGGCACAGAGCCCTGAGCGTAATCGCGTCTGCTGGCCGTGACCCGTTAGGTGAGCCGTGCCCAGTGCAACGCCCGTTGCTGTTTCACACGCACCAAAGCGTGGCATCGTCCTGGCCGTGAGTGCCAGGCTCCTGATGGAGGTGGCGCTGGGTTGCGGAGGGATGGGCAGGGGGAAGCAGGCATGGAGGTGGGTCAATGCCAGCGGCTGTTCAGGGAGAGCACCCACCACCGTGGGCAGGGAAGCAGTACCCAAATTCAGAGGGAATGATGCGCTCTCTCCCCACCCCCGCTGGCCTCGCTGATCCGGCGCCTGCTCCTCTGCTTGTCCCACTGTGCCGGGCCCCCCCGATCCTGCCCCCACAGAGCCCCAGTCCTGGTCATCCCGCTGCATGTTCCTTCCTGCCCCGGTTCCTCCCATTCTTGCTTCTTCCTCCTGCTGCAGAGCGCCCTCCGAGCTCCCCCTGCAAGCTGCTTTTTTGACCAGAGAGGCTTCAGCCCTGGCGGTGCAGCCGCAGGGCAGGCATCCGCAGGACCCAGCTTGCACCGTGGGTCAGAGAGGGTGGGGAACCGGGCAGGCACGCCGTGGGTGCAGCAGGGAACTACTGGAGTGCTGAGAGCGTGAGCAGACGGATCCCAGTGCCTGGAGTCTGAGAAATGACTGCCCTCTCCTTGCGTGAGAGGGAAACATGCAAACTTGCCCACCGAACCTGTGCAAAATGCAGATCCCTTTTACGTCCCACCTGTGATGCTGGTTTCTGCAGGGTCTTGCCTGTGCTGTTCAGGCAGTGAATCAGGCAGCAAAGCTTCCTCACTGCCTCCGGGGGTACATTGAGCACCTCTGCCCACATGGCTGGTCTCCTTCTTGCTTTCTCCAGCCTGAGTGAGCACAGGTTTGTGGAGCAGCGCAACCAAACTGAAGTAGCTTCTTCTAGCTAAATAACCCGGGAATGAGCCATGAGCCTGGAACGTTATTTCTGCTTTTATAGCAGTCACATGTTGGGGTGTGCATAAGGCTGATTGTGATGGCCACTGCTTTTTAGACCTCTAAGCATCACTGGTGCCCGTTCATAAGTGCAGGGTACCCACCACTGGCATGCGCACACAGAAGTGTGCATGCTGTGTGTGCCTTTGGAGGGGCCTGGGCAGGGGGATGGATCTCTGCAGCAAATGCAGAGAGGAGACGGTAGCTCTAAGACACGCGTGCAAGTGCGTGAATGCATGCACGCGTGCGTGTTCGCGCCCAGATGGAGGGCGGGGGGGTGTACAGCAGCCTAACCTTTACGGGGTGACCATCAGCCTAGTGTTGATGGTGAAGACTGTCAGCTTTATGCGTAGGGCCCTCAGCATCCCCATCTGCTGCAGAGTTTTTAGTGCGAGCCCAGCGTGCGTGCAAAGCCCAGTTTATCAGCTTGCCGTTGCTGGGAGCAGGACATGGCAGCAAGAGAGGTCCTACGGCAGGCAGCTACCACTCTCGTTCAGTTTTTACAGCAAGTTTGTTCATCAGGGCTGGAGCAGCTGGAAGCAAATACTGCAGGAGGGGCAGCCTGGATGATAAGCGGCTGTGGTCAGCGATGCCGTGTTTCGCCCTGCACCCACTTACAGCTGTATGGGAGCCGTCCTGGCCCAGCAGAGAAGCCCTGGCAAGCAGAGAGCACTCGTGAAGTCTTGCACAGTGGGTCTCATCAGCACTGTCAGTGCCCCGGGCTGTCACTGCCCTCCTTCCCTGAGCTCAGCCTTGAGCAGCTCAGAGACAGCCGTCCTCTCTGTGCTGCCCGGGGGCTTCTCAGTTTCACACACCAGCTTCGGTACAGGTTATTTTGGTAGTTTCAAAACCAGCTGTTTTTGAAACCAGGCACAGGAATTGCCAACCTGCACGCAAATCTGGATATTACTTTTTTCAGCCGCTCTGATACGGGACTTTTATTAAACAATGGGCGTGCCCACAGAACACTGAAAGTATCTATAAGAGAAAAACAAGAAAGGGGGTTTTGTTCACTTTGCATGTGGCTAGCCTTGGCATAAGTAATTACGCTGGTAGGAGACCAAGACTATTTTTGAAGTGCTCGACTCTGTGCTGTGCGAAGTGGGTGAGAGCACAGAGGGCAACTTCTCTAGGATGGTTTTGTGACACGTGCTGGTGGGAGCACAGTTCTTGGATTGCCACACACATAGGAGGATTTTCAAGTCTCATTTGGCATCAGTGACTTGGTTGGGGTCTGATACCAAGAGGCTACAGCTTTTGCAAGTTTGCTCTGAATGGTGTCGTGTGGTTGCTTTGGGTACAGCTGGTTCTGCACCACCAGGATTTTGTTTGGATCCAAGCCTCTCTTTTTAAAAAACAAAACAAAAACAAAACATGTGTAAAGGATGTGTGTTCAGAGAAATAGATTGTGTGTGCTAACTCACTTTGTGCTGTGCCTCTCTTCCAGTTGGTGCACTACGTGTGGAGTTTTCCCAGCCTGTGAACCTGGAAGAAGTGGCGAGAATCAACCCCGAGGTCAAACCAGGAGGTCGTTTTGCTCCAAAGGATTGTATAGCACTTCAAAAAGTAGCAATAATCATACCATTCAGGAACCGAGAGGAGCACCTGAAGTACTGGCTCTATTACCTACATCCAATTCTCCAAAGGCAGCAACTAGATTATGGAGTATATGTTATCAATCAGGTAAGATGCTAAAGACGTGAGGTTTTTATACCTCTCTCATAACAGTGCCCGTGCTCCCTAAAACAGAGGAGTGATTGCTTTATCCTGAACAGCAGCGGGCTGGCAGTCAGGGACAAGGTTGCCTTTTTTTTTTCTGTTTGTTTAAAAAAAAAAAACAAAAACAAAAACAACAAACAACAACAAATAAAAAAAATTTTAAAAAAGGCTGTAGCACCAAAAAAGTGAAAATGAATGTGACCAATTTTACTTTGATTCTGATGGAAAACCTGAGGTCCCCTCTTCCAGTCAGGAATGATTCACTCTAAAAAGCCTCTGCTTAAAAACACCACTTGATGAGGAGGGAAAAAATCCCTAATAGCACAACCCAATCTTATACCTCTTTCCAAATGTTCCTTCTTCCCAACCCCTGCAGAAACTGCATACAGAGATCTTTAAGGTGACAAGGTAGCATTAATGCCAAATCTGGTATTTGGTGTGCTATAAAGCTGTAGGATTTTACTTACATTCTCAAGCAACTTCTGTTTATGTTAATTATAGCGCACAAAGTGTTGGTATGGAGAAAGCAAAGCTATGGCAATGGAGCAGGTGAATGGCTGTCTTCAGGTGAATAGAACAGAAAAAAAAAAAAAGTAGTGACAAGGGGCGGGGTTTATTGTTTTGTTTTGTAGGTGTTTTTTTTTTGTTGTTTTGTTTTGTTTTTTTTCTGGTATCTGATGGCCTTAGATCTGTCTCTTTTTTTTTTTTTTTTTTTTTTTTTTCAAAAAGGCATGTTTCACTTCAAGCTGTTTTAATTAATAAGTGGGTGATGTTCACACTTGGAAAGGTTTACAATGTGCAGGCATTTGCAAGGAGTGCAGCGTGAAAGGGCAGATGCAGTTCTGAGAGCCCTTACAGAATCTGCTCACTGGACGGTCTCATAGTGCAGTTTCTCTCTTGGATATGTATTTATGTCCTGTTTTCTCAGCTCTGTGAAAACTGAGATTAAATAGCATGCTTCTTTAAATATAATGCCTTAAACTTGCAGGTCAGCTGATGTGTTTGAGCAATAACAGACACCATGAATATTTAAAATGCTCTCCCAAGCAATAAATTCCCCCACAGAATTGAACGTAAAGGGAGACCTTTTCCTAGAGAGAAAACCAATACTCCATTACTACTGTTTCTCTTACTTTGCTCATTTCCAGGGTGCCAGCGATCTGGGAAAAAGTGATTTGTAGGGAATTAGAAGTAACTCCCAAGCACAGCAGTGAATATGTCCAGTGTCTGTGGCTGACTGTGCTTGCGGACTGGTGGCATGTTGCTGAGGGCACAAGGCGTTTCTGCAGCATGCGGGCTGGCACCCTCTGCCCTAAAATTAAGCCCTGTAAGGAGACTCTTCCTGCGTAATGCCAAGAGCAGCTGGTGCCGCTGCAGTCCAGCAGCGTGGGGCCAGCCCCAGCCCTTCGTCCTTCAGGCCGCGTTTCCTTGCACGTCCAGTGTTTGCCCGTGCAAGTTATTGGTGCCGCAGGGTTGCTTGAGCCACGGTCCCCACTGGTCACTGGGGTGCAGGTGGGTGAAGGTGGCAGGGCAGCGTGCCCCCCCTTTTCCGAGCGCGGCTCGGAAGCGAGGTTGCGATGTGGCTTCCAGCAGTGGTCCTGCGGTGGGGGCTGCTGCTTTCCTGGCCAGCGTAGCAAACCCGTCAGCTCTGCAGCAGGCTGGGGGGAGACGTGGACCCACGGTCTGGGGGCACTGCTCGTGGGCGAGTGGCTGTCTCCGTTGCAAAGAGGCAGCAGTGCAACTGGGGCTGTTATTTCCCCATCAGTGGTGTTCGAGGGTAAGGAAAGCGAGGGGCCCCATCACGTGGAGCTGGGCCAGCACCCGTAAAGGCAGGCGGTGTCCAAAACCCAGCTGGGGTTCTTGCTGGTGCTGCGATTGGTGCATGCTGGCTTGCACTGCCCTGCATTGCTGCCTCCTCCTCTTCTCTGGTTCTGTCCTCCAGCACTAGGGCTGTGGGGCTGTCTCTCTGCTCTGAATTTAACTCTCACAGAAATTACTGAAGCAAATGGGTTTTTCTCAGCTTCATCTCTTGAGCAAAGTTGGAGTGGGAGTGACATGCAGTACACAGGGTATATATGTCGTGGACACATCCAGCAGTCAGATATAGGTTAGCAAGTAATCTTACTTGATTTGTAAAATAAACATACTCCTTCTGCATGCCTCTCGCAAACTCTGTCTGGAAGAGGCAGAGTGGTCAGTGGTAGTAAACCCACTAGATGCATCTCTTGAGGGTGAGTGGGAATACTGAGTAGAGAGAGTTGCAGAAAATGTATTAATTCTGCCAGAAGTACAGTAGGAATACAGTCTTATTTCTCTGCTGTCTTGACAATTGCTTTTCTCTTTTTCTTGTCTGTCCTTCCCTTTGCATCTGCCCTCTTTTTTTTTTTTTTTTTTTTATTTTATTTTTCCTTCTAGTGGGGAAATATTACCTTTACTTGTTAATCCTGTCTATATCAAAGCAATCACTGAAGCAACGAGAATTACTGTGTGATCTGGTTCTTACACGCTGCCTACGTGCTCTTCTGTGCTCTGCATCTCATAGAAAGAAAGAGGAGCGCTGAGCCCTGCTACTGCTGCACTGGTAATGTCAAACTTCTTCCTTTCAGCGCAATGTGTTTCCGTCACGAGTCCGTTGTGTCTCCACCGTGCTGTTCTTGCGTGCCTGAATGCCTCAGAATAGGATTTGGCTGAAGTCAGGGGGGATAATGTTTGTAAAATATCCAGTGTATAACAGGAGCCAATGGAAAATATGTATTATGCTTCACCCTCTGCACTCTACCCCCAGCAAAACCCAAACATGAGTTTTCTCACTGAATTTCAGACTGTGCAAATGCCCTTGCAGCCAGGCTGATGTTTTGGAAAGGGGAGACTTAGCAGATTCCCTGAAAACCGTGCAATTTTCAATTGTTTTCCACTGGCCCCTGGCATTGCCTGCAGTGTCCTCAGTAGCAATTTTCCGGAGTGTGTGTGTGTGCGAGTGAGTGCAGAGTGGTTGGGGCATCGCACTTATTCATCCTATTTTGCAGGGGGTATCAGGACCCCCCACATATGTGGACAAAGGAGGGAAATGTGCTGGGCTCCTGCTTACCCCCACAGTGGTGGGGAAGGCGAGTTTCCCCCAGGGCTGCTCTCTCCTGCTGCCCGATGTAATGGTGCTGAGGCCTCAAAACACCCTCTGACAGAGAAACAGCAAGGTGTCTCCAGGTGTCTCTGTGTGGCCCTGGAAATCTGCTTCTACCTGCTCAAGTCCACTGGAGCATGGACTTTCACGTGGACACTGTATGTGTGGTTCAGGCTGTCTTGATGGATCCCTGACTTTGCTAGCAACCTCCTGTTGGAGGTGATGGGTCTCTCTTAGCCACCCAGAAACACATATCCTCACCATTACCTCCCTGAGACCCAGTGAGTTTAGGATCCAGGTGATACAGCCACAGGTCCTCTGCACTGCTGTGCTGTCTGCAGAAGGAATCACAGAGCTGCCTCCTACATGGAATTGGGAGGCAGGACAAAATTGGGACAGGTGGCTTCTTGATGATTTGCAAGCCCTTTAACTTGAGTGGCAGTTTCAAAAACCTTGATTTTATCTGTCACTAAAAAAAGGTAGCATCCTTTGGTAGGTCTGGCTGAACAAACCAGATTTATCAAAGGTAAGGGATGGGAAGTAAAAAAGTCTGGATGTCCTTTTCTTGGGCTGATCATCTCCAAGTGTCAGTGGCAGACCCTGCAGGACTGAGGCAGCAGGTTGGCCCCCTTCAGTCAGTCTCTCGTGGACCAGGGAATGGGGCTGGGCTTGAACGTGCTGGGAGAGATGTAGAGAGTAGAATCAGGAGCCTGAAACAGGTGCAGGGCACCAGCACTGAACTCAGAGTTGGGTTAAATTGCAGGACAAGAGAACATAGGGAAAAAATTATCAGGAAAGAAAAACAAAAATTAGGAAAAAAAAAAAAAGAAAACCTAAACAAAAATAACCAACAAAACAAACCATGATTGGACTACATCTTTTCTAGTTGAAAGCCTAGGAAATAAGCATGGAGGCTGCATCTAGAGCTTGGCTGTACTGTCAAAGCAGCAGTCCCCTGTGCACTGCCTAGCTCTTCAGGATGATGCTCCTTTGTCCAAGCAAGTCCAAACTGATCCATTTCCTTTTGGCAAGTAACAGGAAGCCTCCATGGGATGAGGAGCTGCCAAGCAGAGGCAAGGGCTGGATGTTTCTTCAGTTCTGCTTTATCTGCTCTCTTGAGAGTTGGCTGTGGTACTGTGCACTGTGCTGACCTTGAAGAGACAGCAGCACAGAAGAGAAATTTCCCAACTCTGCCTTTTTTTTCCCTTTCTTTCAAAAAGTTGGGGATCAGTCAAAGATGGAAGCCTGCAGCATGTTTCTGAGTTTTGAGAGATCTGATTCTCAGATACTGCAAGCATGCCAGTGCTTCCACATTGCCTCAGGTAAAGAAACAGCTTTCTGCAAAAAGCAAAACTTCTTGTCAGTCTTTTTTTCCTCCAAAACATGCTGTAACGCCCTCTGTACCTTCTGGGACAGAAAACCAGCCTCCTGCCCTCAAAGGAATCATAATTGATAACATTGCAAGGTTTGCTGTATGAGCTACCTGCTTGCTGTAAAGTTACTGAAAAATGGCTTGGAGAGGGTTAGGGGTTTTTTTGTTTTGTTTTGGTTTGTTTTTTTTTTCAGTTGTGAATTTTTTTTCCCCACCCCCAGGCCTTTTGGATCCCACAGTGTGAAGCTGTGTGGCCATTTGGGAGGAGAGCAGCAGTGCCCATGTGAAGTGTCTGCCCTGTGTCTGTTCCCTCTCCACGCACGGGGCCCCATCGTGGGCTCTGCTGGTGTCTGGTGGGTGAGGCAGCAAAGGGGTCCTGCATGCTCTTGGTCTGGTCACGGTGCTGTACTTCGGGGTTTTTCGGGGAGAGGTTTAAAAACACAGCTCCTTGTACCATTGTTAATCCGTAAGTGTCACCCAGAGGAGTTAGAGGCTACCTGAAGGCATGGGTTAATTACAGCTAAGCCTCAGCTGGTAACCAAATTGGTGTAAAGTGCCCTTTACCTTGAAATTTCATTATGAAAAGAGTAGCCAAAGGGTGTGAAATGAGGACATTCTCCTAGACTGGACCTAACAGGTGATTTGAGGTGTGAGCACATTGCACTTCGAACCAGCACTGGGAAAAGTCCCCCTTGGGACTATGGAGCGAGGCCTGGGTTTGTTGCCGTGGGACCCGAGGGGTGCTGGGCAGCCCCTTTTGCTGGGGGAAGAAAACTAATCCCACAGCCTGAGCCACTCCCTCTCCCCAGTATCTTTGTTTGACTTGCCTTTTTTTCTGCACTCAAGTTTTCACTGCTCTTGCTTATGCATGATGGTGATCGTCTTCCCACCACCTTAGTTATTGCGGGAACCCTTTTGTTTCGGGTGAGGATGCTGAGAATTTGCTCAGATCCTCCTCCACAAAAGCTCACTCCTCCCTGTTTAGTCATTTATGCCTGAGGCAGGTGATGAATGCTTTTGAAAACCTTGGTTTGACACTCGCATGTTAAAACCTTCATTTGAAAGATATTTGTGGCTGTTTCAAGAACTTGCACTGGCTCTCCAGCCACAGGTCCATTAACCAGTCTGGATTAAACAGTTTCCAAACTGATCATTTATTAACCAGGCAAAGTCATTTGGGAGGAGGTGATGTTTTAAGCTGCTGCTTCTTGGGCACAGTATTTTATCCGTCCTTGATTCACCTCCCACGCAGGGTGCAGGTACCACAGGGTGGGGGGATGGTTTTGCACAGCGGGGGAGTTCTTTTGGCTTGACACAGCTCATAGGGTGTGGAGGGGGAAAGGTGGGAAGTGGTAGAAGATAAAGTATTTGACAGTCTTGGTTTCCAGGCTGGCAAAAAACTTGAGACTACTTCAGCAGTGCCCTGTGAGTTCCCTTCCCGGCTCTGTTCCCCTGAACAGGGTTTGAAGCTGCTGCTGGAAAGTTGGGACCTGGATTGGAAATCCTTACTCTTAAATCACTGGTATTCTTGGGTTTGTGGGTATGATCCTGTTGTTTTTTGAAAGCACTTGATCAATTTGTGAGCCCGTACTGGTGCTCAGAGCCACGTGTGCTTTTGAGACATTTCTACCTGAGAGGCCAAACTGATTCTCCTGGGGCACCTTGTTGCTTGGGGAGGAGAGCGGAGATTTTCGTGCCCTGCTCTTTGCAAGTCCCTTTGCTATCTGCAGGTCCCTTCATTAACTGTGCCTGCCCAGATGGTCCGTCACATCATGGTGACAGCCCTCCTGCTTTCATTTTCCCAGCAAGTCCCCTGGGATGGATGGTGGGTCATGCCATACTCGTGCTGGCAGAGGGGCAGCCAAGGAGGGGCTGTGCACCGCAGCAGACGGCAGCGCCCGGCACACGAGCCATAGCCCTTGCAGGAAGCAGCTCGCACCGGCCTGCCATCCGTAAAGAAGGCTGTGTGTGACAGCCACGTGCTGAAGCAGCAGCACCCGTCCCAGGGCCCGGGGAGCGTCCTGCTCCCGTGCATGCACGACTGCCCAGGGCTTGGCGCGGGAGCGAGCGGCAGACCTTGGCTCCGGGTGCCACGCCGTGCTTTGCGGATCAGGTCTGGCACGTGCTCGCTTGTGCTGCTCAGCAGAGGACATGCCACGGTCCCGCCGCCGTGTTGTGGCAGAACTTGGGAAGAAGGTGCCGAAATCCTGGCCACAGAAAGGTTTTGGTCCGTGGTCCTCGTCCTGGCTGCAAGCTAAAGCACCGCCAAGGTTTCCCTCTGTAACAAGGGTCCCTTCTTCCAGAGGAGCTTATCTCTTTGCTTTTCTCTGCTGCTCCACAAAGCCCTAGCTGCTTGCCTCAGCGGTCCATAAATTTTACCACAAAATTCAATCTCGACATGCCTGTATGTGGGGTGGGACAGGGGGACCACTCGGCATCAAACCTGCCCTCTTGGAGCTCCCATCAAGAGAGGGGAGCTGAGCCAGGTCCAGCCTTTCCTCAGCCGTTTCGGCTGCCCCTGTGGTTTGCAGCTGGCTCAGATGCCATCGTCACAACTGCAGCAGTCTGGGTGGGGAGCTCGCTGTGGATATTCTGTGGGTGCTGCGTGGGGAGTGCTCAGGCTCAAACTCAGTCCATCACAGTCATGCCAACCCAATGCAGCAACACAGGCGTCTGGTGACAGGTAAGAAGCTGCTGATGTCAACTGTTAAATGAAGTCACTTAACTATTTTTATTTGTTTTAAATTAGGATGGAGAAGAAGAATTTAACCGTGCTAAACTGCTGAATATAGGATTCGCAGAGGCCTTGAAAGAGTATGACTATGATTGCTTTGTGTTTAGTGACGTAGACCTCATCCCAATGGATGACAGGAACACCTACAAATGTTACAGCCAGCCACGGCACCTCTCTGTATCCATGGATAAATTTGGATTTCGGTGAGACGACTTTGGAGGGGTATTTTGTTCCTAATACTGCTGTTAGTCTAGCAGGCTAGGCACAGCGTTAGACATCCCCACCCACCATTGAAAGCATGGGAAAATGTCTCTGGCAAAAGCCTGTCTTGGCGTGTGCATCCCTGCAGGGAGCGGGTGGCTGCAAGCGGGATCGGCTGGAGGGGAGGAAGGGGGAGAAACACAGCTGAGCAGTTTATTAAAATTCACAGCTTCTGGAAAGTGAAACATAGGGTGAGGAAAAACTAAGAGCCTGTCGTTTTGCAGATGCCCTCATATCCCTTCTTGTGTTTCAGGCTGGAAGCTGGAAGACAGCTAGTGTTTCCACCCAGTCTGAAAAGTGAGACACTCACACAGTGAGAATTATGTGCAGCTTTAAAAAGACTATATTAGACACTATTTTAAGAGCAAAATTAAATATTTTTGACTGTTTGATTTTTGGGCCACTGAAGGACCTGCACTGGTATCTGAGAGCAAAACAAACCAAAATGCCTTTCATCATACATTTGAGTTCAGCAGGCTGCTGTAAATAAAAATGTGTCTTGCTTTTCCTTTTTTTTTTTTTTTTTTTTTTGTTCTATTCCAAATCCCCAAGGGGGAGTTTAAAGCTCGTCTGTAAAGTGGAAACCAATTGTGACCCCATGGTCGCCAGTAGCGCTAAAGATGCAGCCGCAGTGTTGGTGGCAGGACACCTGCTCAGAGCAGGACTGTCACTGGCATCACAGCAGCTGCACGTTTTTTCTTGCAGTTAGGTGAAGCTTAGAGCAGAGATGCAGGCCCCAGGGGTTTCTTCTGCTTATTGAAGCAGAGACAAGGTCTGTGGTAGGTGCTGGTGATCCCTGCATGGACCCTCTCTTTGTGCTGTGGGTCTGAATTTTGTCTGTCTCCAATCCCCCAGTGAATCGTCCCCCCATTTGGAGCAGGAGCTGGTTAGATTTGTGCATGCAAGGTCATGCTGCCAGCTTAGTTTTGGGCTGTGAGCTTTGCTTTCTGTCACTGGGCAGCGTAGAGGTGAGCGGTGGAGCTGCAGGAAGAGAAGGCTCTGAATCATCTCTGCCTCGCTGAGCTCTTGCTGCTCCCAGGGCGTGCATGTCACCCACCTGTCCTTTGGCAAGGTGATGTGCATCTCACCAGCCTGTCTTTCAAAGGCTGTGTACGTCTTAGTGAAAAGCTGCAGCCATTACCAGGTGCAAAGTATTTTGCAGCTGTATTTGGGACTGAGCCCACCAACACCCCTGGCCTCTGCCAAGTCCAGGGCACCAAAACACATGCTGCTGCCTGTTGCAGAGAGGTGCCTTGCAGTGGGCGCTGGCTCGCTATGGGCTGGGGTGAAGGGCAACAGCAAGTGCTTTTTGGGTGGACAGGCTGCTCCCTGGTTAGTACCTGTCCTTCTCTAATGTCCTTTTCTCCCTCCTTCCAGGTTGCCTTACAATCAGTATTTCGGAGGCGTGTCTGCCTTGAGCAAAGAACAGTTCACAAAGATCAACGGGTTCCCAAACAATTACTGGGGCTGGGGTGGTGAAGATGATGACATTTATAACAGGTAAATAAATAGCCCCCTTGGCACCCAGAGTGCCTCCAGGGTGAGGATGAGCACAGACCTGCTGCTTTTGCCGTGGGGGGGGTGGGGTGGGGTGCATTTTCACCCCAACTGCAGGAGCTTCACCCTCCAGGTGGAGGACAGAGGTGGTGCGTGGGCGACTTGCTGGCTCAGCGAAAACGTTTTCCTGCTGGGTGCTGGCACCCCATTTTGCAGCTCCCAAGGTGTGCTGGGGAGTGAGTCCAGCTGGAAAAATCCCACTCCTGCCTCGTACACTCATCACTTGTTTGCCGTGCACCCTTGCAAGCATCCGCGCCAGTTGGAGCAGCACGCTTCTGGCTCTCCCAGCACTGGCCAAAGGAAGGGCATTCGGGACACACAGTGGGGTGGAGAAGACCTTGACTCACCTAGCTCAACACAGCCTGAGGCTTGCCTGGGTCTGCAGACTGGTAGCAGATCCCTTTGTTCCCAGGAGAGCTTAATTTGTCAGGCTGTAAGTGGCTCTAAATAATGCTGTGAACAGTCATCAGGCAAGGCTCAGACCTGCAGGAGAGGAGGAGGGTGTTGCATAGGACAGGCTGGGACCACCTCTGCCTGAAGACCAGAGCAGAAGGTGGATGTGGGATTGTGCTACCTTATGGCTTCGCATCTCCAGGGAATTCACTGTGAGAATTCATTGAGGGAGCTCGGATTTGGGAAGCCCTCTTCATGTTTCTCAATGGCAGAACCACTCTGTGTGGTCTTTTCTTTGGGCTTTCCTAGCTCACCTGGGCTTTGGAAAGGGTCTTCCTAAACCTGCTTGTACCTTCCCAAGGTTCAGCACTTTTGTTTAATAAGGAAGCAAGGGACAACCTTCTGTTGTGGTTTGGGCCCAGAGGACAGCTGAACACCATGCAGCTGCTCACTCCCTCCCCCCTCAGGGATGGGGTGAGGAGGGAGAATATGGAGCAAGAATGGATCAAAGAATCCATCTAAGGACAGGGAAGAGTTGCTCACCCATTATAGTCACAGACAAAGGACAAATTCCATAGAAATACAACACTTTAATCCAAACACTAACAAAACCAGTACTTATCGGAGTGGGACATTGTGAGAAACATTATCACATCCAAAACCACCTTCTCCCCACCCCTCCCTCCTCCCCAGGCTCAGCTCTGCTCCCCATCTCTCTCCCTCCTCCCCCAGTGACTCAGGGGGCAGGGGATGGGGGTTACCGTCAGCTCGCCGCTCCTTCCCGCTCGGGAGGTGGGGTGACCGCCGCACATCCCTCCCCAGCTCCACACGGCTCCCCTCTCACTGCAGACAGTCCTCCGGGAACCTTCTCCACAGGGAGTCCTCCCCACGGGCCGCAGCCGTTCCCACGCTGCTCCGCCGTGGGTCCCCCCGGCGTGTTGCAGTCCTCCCAGCGCTGAACCACAACAGTGGGAGCTGCTTCTCCCCTCAGGGTCCCAGCCTACTTTAAAGACAGTCGCCTGTCCTGGAGTGGCTTTCTCCTCAGGCTTCAGGTCAGCCTCTACTCCACCGTGGACCTCCATGGGTGGCAGGTGGGGCAGCCCTGCCCTCTCACCATGGGATACAGGGCTCTCTGCTTTGGTACACTTCCCCCATGTCCTTCTTTTTCCTTCTGCTGACCTGGGTGTTCATCCTTCTCACAGCTCCTCACAAGTACCGGCCCCCTCTCAGGTTCCATTTCTTAAATATGTTATTGCAGAGGTGCAGCTGATCAGCCTGGCCAGAGCCGAGTCCAACTTGGAACCAGGGGAGCTTGGAGAAGTTTCTCACAGTGGGAACTGCTGTAGCTCCCTCCCTTGCTACCAAAAAACTGTGCCACAGAAACCCAGCACACCTTCCAGTGGGGCAGGGCATTCAGGACAAGGTAGCAGTCCTCTCTTTTTGGGGCACTCAGGTTTTGAGAAGTGGAAGATGCTATATAGAAATTAAAAGGGAGATGCAAAGAGGAAGAAACCAAGGTACTTTTCCATCATTAGTGTCCATAAACTGCAGATGTCTTTCAGGGACCATGCATGCAAAGACAGGCTGCCCCTTGCCCAGTAGGTCCCAGCTGGGACCATTGTGGCTCTGACCATGTGGTCCCCCCCCATTCTTCTTCACCACCATTCACTTCAGTTTCTACCAGCACTGGCTGCACCTTTCATATCCCAAAAAATTAATGCTCTTCTGGCTCATTTCCAGATGGGTTAAAAACTAGATGCCTCCCATTCAAATTCCAGTCTACACCCCGGAGCAAGGTTAATGCAGGTGTTGGGTGTTGGAGGAGCTGGTGAGGGTGCGATAAATTAGCAAATCCTTGATGTTGGCAGGGGAACATCTCTTTTACCCCCATGGCTGATGTGCCCACTTGGAAAGGGAACACACTAATGACATCTGCCCAATAAAAAAAAAAATAAATAAATAAACAAGCAAATAAATAAATAAATAAATAAATAAATAAAAAAAACCACACAAAAAACCACACACACACCCCCCCAAAAAAAAAAAAAAAAAAAAAAGGCAAAACCCCAAAAACCAATGGTTATTTGTGGAAGGTGTGGCAGAACATCCCACATCCGTCGCCTGTCATGGGTGTTTAATGTATTTACTTTTTACAGGCTGGTGTTTAAAGGCATGGGGATATCCCGTCCAGATGCCATCATCGGCAAGTGCAGAATGATTCGGCATTCCCGGGACCGAAAGAACGAACCCAACCCCGAGAGGTTTGTCTCCCTGGTCTCACAGCATACCCAAGGGGTGCCTCCCACCCTTGCTGCTTGGCTTTCTCATTGCATGCAAGAATCCCGGTCACAGAAAGCCCACGGCCATTTCCTCCCTTGCTCACCTCTCTGTTCCCTGCACTGTTAGCTGCCCTGTTTGCCTGGACAGTTTATTACCCTATTACAGACCTTTTCCCCAAGATTTCACTGTGGCGTGAGTGCCTCTCACCTCTTTTTTTTTTTTTCTTCTTAAACACAGCAAATTAAGCTCCGAGCAATTGTTTCCAGCTTGTATTTTGTATACAAAACCTGGGCTCTAGTTCAGAGCTGGAAAAGGACCTGTGTGATTTAAAAGCTTGGCTGCTTTTTCTGGCTAAAATTTGACCCCATAGGAATGCCTTTGCCCTGTGTTCAGGCTGGCCAAATCTGGGAGTTTATGGGACTTCTACAGATACTGAGGTTCTTCTTAAAATACCAGAGATGCTGTCTGAGAGGCTATAAAAATATAATGCAAAGTTCGGTTGTTTTTTTCCTTTCTTTGTTCTTTTTGGTTTGGTTTGGTTTATTTGTTTTTTCCCCCTTCCTTCTTTGTGGATTTTTTTTTTTTTCCCCCCTCTGCAGGTTTGACCGAATTGCTCACACAAGGGAGACAATGAGCTCTGACGGCTTAAATACACTATCCTACAAGGTGTTAAGAACTGACAAGTACCCTCTGTATACAAAGATCACAGTGGACATTGGCTCACCAAATAGCTAACATCAGAGACACAAGAGAGATCTTGCCTGTGTTGCCGAGGACATCTGGCCTCACTGATATTATATCTGCTGGTTTTATAACAGTTGCAATGAACAAAAAAAAAAAAAAAAAAAAGCCTCATGGCATGCCAAAGCTCTCCAAATTGGTTGGACAAGTGCTTTTTTTCCTTCTTTTTTTTAAAAAAAAATTCCAAACTTGACTTTACAGTTTTCTAGCTCTCCATTGTTTTGTAAGTCCTGAAGCTGTACAAAAGAGTTGTAAATATTTACTTTGCCAGAAAATGTTGAATCTGATCTATTTGCTGCATTGCTCCCCATGTTGAGTTAATTGCTGGACCCAGATTTTACTGATTACAACTGTGATGCATCAGCAATTACTGCCCATTATATTTGGTATTTTAAATGAGGTGGATGAAAACATCCTTTTAATTAATTCCTGGTTTTACTTTATGAAGGACTGTAAAATGCTGCTAAAATTGTACAAGTTTACGTTTTGCATTAGATGGTTTTTTTTAATGGAGACAATATCATATATTTTTTTCTCATAGTGACCAAAACAAACATCTCCTCTGTGTGCAGAGCAAATGTTGAACAATCGAGTCTGGATTCAATGAATGTCATTATTTCTTTTAGTCTCAAAGGAGGCTTTGAGTGAGTTGAGCCAGAGTTTGCCAGAACTTGCCAGTGAGCTCTCTGCATAAGGTGGGAGCTACACAGATGGCATCTGCAAAAACCGCTGGCTTCAGATAACCTTATTTCTGGATGTGATAGTGACTCTTTGCCTCAGCCCGATTAACACCTGGGGCTTTTGAGGGGGGGTGGGGGAGTGGAGGGTGTGGGGTTTTTTTGTTTGTTTTTGGTTTTTTTTTTTGTTTGTTTTGTTTTGTTTTTGTTTTTTTTCTGAAATAAAGACAGATTAATTTAATTGTGTGATGAGATTATGGCCTTAAAATTTGCTGTCACTTATTAATAGTGGTAGAAAGTTAACACGCTATTTAAACATTGTCTGAAGCTTCCTAAAACCAAAATTTTTACTGCGAGGTCATGCATAAAACTTGAATTCACTTATTACTTCTGTTGTTGTTGTAACATTTTAATAACATTTTAAAGTAATTTGTATATTATAAGCAGTATATTTAATACTAGATTAAACTAGGGTGCAGCATTATAGGATATGATTCAAGGCCTCTTTTATCTTCAGACTAGTAGGCTTTTTATGTGCGTCATTATATAGAAGCCATGTATTATATTTGCTCTGCTATTTGTCCATGAAATCTCCTGCGGTGCTGAGATACTCACAGCAGGGCTGACATCCAATCAGTTTTTCTTTGCCTAAAGCCTGTTGCAATGTGTGTCCTCTATCGGGAAACTCTTCTGATTTTCTCAGGCTTTGAGGGACATGCATGTTTTGGAGTACTACTTTTTGTCAGTGCACCAGGGCACCACCTGTACAGACACCCTGCTTTCCTTCCCGTGACCGTATGAAAGCCTCAAGCGCTGACACCTTTGGAGCTGGTTTATGTGATTAAAAGTTCTCAGTCAGCACTGAGAACTGAATTCCTTCTGGTGAGTATTTTGCCACCAGCTCTGACCACAGCAATTTGCACTTCCTTGGCCTGTGCTGAAGGCTGTTAAAATCAGGGATGCTTGTTGTATTGGGGATCATCTTCAGCACTGCCTTTTTTTTTTTTTTTTTTTTTCCTTTTTGGTGTTTTTTTTTAGTTTCTTCTTCTCTTTGGTTTGTTTTTTTTGTTGAGACCTGAAGGTTTTGCTGAACCCTTGCACTGTAGGGGTGGGATCCTGCAGGGGCCAGGGGACAGTGCATTTTTTCTTAGGCCAGCAGTGGCTCAAAATATGCACAGAGACTTTAATTACTAGGGAGACGACTAGCTGCCTTTTCAGTCTCACTTTGAAAAAGTGTTCACCCCCTTAGCTTAAAAGCTGTTGCTGGCCAGACTTCTTGCTTCAGTCATGCTGGGAGCTGAGCAAAGGTGGGCTTGCATGGATCAGGAGTGAAGCCCAAGGAAGCAGGTTTATGTTTAAGAGCTGCTCTCTTGTGCTTATCGTTGCATTAAAAAAAAAAAAAAAAAAAAATTACTCCTTTTTAGCAGGTCAGGCTCCAGCTCTTGCTGGAGTACAAGGGGGTACAAGAAGAGGATGTGTTACATAAGTTAGGTCAAATGTCTACCCGTAAAACATCGGTGTAGCTGTAGTCTGCACCAGTAATGGAGACGCGAGGACTTTGTATTTTATTTTTTCAAATGTGCCTTAGAAGCAGGGCCCCACTCCCACAGATGGCAGGTCAGCACCTAAACTCATTGAGGCTCCACTGAAAATCCCAGGTCTCTGCAGAGAGCACCTCGATTTTGGGCTGAGCCTTTTGTAATTTGAAGATTTAGGGCCTTTAGCTGCAGTGGTGTCTGTCTACTAACAGGCTATGCAAAAGGACTACCTGTTGTAATTGGCGGGGGCGGGTTTCATTGCCTTGGGATTCTCTGAAGTTTAGAAAAAAGTGTAACAACTTGTTTCGCTGTATGCTGAAATCATTTAATACCGTGGAGGTAGTCTGAGCATTTATTTCTGGCTGTTGCAAAGGTCTCTACACATGTGCCTTGTAAGAGGAGAGCAGTGGGAACTGGAAAACCAGGAAACCTGAAAACCATTTTTAGCAGAGAGACGCTAGCGGTGCAAGAAACTGCCGGTTAGTTTCTTTTCTGCTCAAGCCACAAGCCATGTAAAAGCCGCAGCTGCCTTTCGTTGCTTGTTTTGCTCTTCATTGCTGACCTGTGATTTCCAGATCTCATTGCCCCTGTGTAAACTCTATTGCTCAAACTCATGAAACACTCTTGACTCAACGTGGCCATGAAATTTCTCTCCCTGGGATTTTCGGGGTGCTTTTCTACAAATGCTCATGTTGCACAGAAGTGAATTCTGGCCATGACCTGTGGTGGGTGGTGTTTTTTCCTCTCCCATACTGGTAGCAACACTCTGTGTGTAACAGTTGAAACCCAGAACAAAAAGCTGCAAAAGAAACTCTAATGCTTGGTTTCTTTGGGATTACTGTTGCTTGTGAGGATGAGGGAGGGTCCTGGCATGCAGTTTTTCCCTGGGATGTTACTTGTGTACTGAACTGCTTATGGGTTTCCTGTAGATGGTTTTGCTTTTGCATTTTTATCATTTATATATCAAGGGATGTATAATCTGATGTTCCTACTTTATTATTGATGTCAAATAAAGTATTTTCAGTTACGATGTCTGGCAGCATTAATCTGAATTACCCGTCTGGCAGGGTGGGTTTCTGGCTGACGGGGTAGACTGGGCCATGCCTTAGCTTCCTTGCAATAACTTTCTTCAGTTTCATTCTTGTGGCTGTCATCCCCATTCCCACCTCCCTACCCCCCCACCCCCTCGTATTAATTTTATGTCTGCACAGCCACATTTTCGCTGGTGTTAGAGAAACAGATTCAGGAGTCCCCAGATGACGCCAGAAAACAATAGGGCAGTTTGTTTATCTGTGAGTAGGGGGACAGCATGCAAACCCCTCCTGAAACCAGGCAGGGGACACAAGCCCTCACCCAGGCTGTCTGCTTGGGGGAAACTGGCCACCGCTCGCTCCCCGGGTGCTTGGGGGTTTGGCTAGAGTGTGGATATGGAGAAGTCATTCCTGGGAAACTGATGCAAACATTTGCCTGTGTTCCTTGGCACTTTCTCATGAAAACAGTTTCCATGGAAGAGATCTTTCCAGCTGCAAGACTGTGGCCAAGGCTAGGCAGCAGGGGTGAGGTCCTCAGTGCTCTGCAGGGAGGGGTGGGCTTGTTTCCAGCTGGGATGAGCTACCAGCCTCTGGGGCCCAGGCTGGCACAGTGGGCAGGACATCCCCAAACCTCTACAGTTGCCTGGAGGCATGCTCTGAAGGCCATACTGACTGAGGGCACTGGCCTCTGCTGTTTTATCCCTGCAGGGATGGCTGCCGGGGCAGTGGGGACAGTGCAGGAGCATCATTGTATGGAAGTTGCCAGCAGACCAACATGCAGCAGAGGGTTTGGACAGGGATGTGCAGGGGGTGGGTAGTCCCTGTGGCACCTCTTGGTAGCTTTTGGATTCTGGAAGGTGTTGCACAGAAATTGTGGGCTTTTTTTTTTCTCATAGTTCAAAGTTTGGTATCCACAGGCAGGAAAATGGTCCAAGAAGGACCTTCTACTTTCTCTGACTTCTGTCCCCAGAGTATTGAGCTGTCCCCCTCCTATCCTGCTTGGGTGGGTGAGAAATGGGCAGGAGTCATACAGCTGAGTGGCTGGAATAAGCCCTGTGTGGAAATTTTGCCCCTTGCTGGAAGCAGCAGCTGAGAAGTGTCAGTAGGATTTCAGCCTTCTTCCCACTGGTTGCCAAAGCTTCTCTGGCCCAGATCAGCATGTGGCTTCTAAAGGGTCCCTTGACTCTTCGGCTGTGAGACTGTATGTGCTCTAGCAGAGCTTCATTTCCCACCTCTAGCTCCACCTGCCTGCCAACAGCCAGGATGGATGAGCAGAGGTCTCTGACATTTATTCTATATTTTATTTATTTATGTTCACCCTGCTACACCTTCCTGTTCTCCAGCCCCTGGGATAAAAACAAAACAAAACAAAACAAAACAAAAAACAAAACAAAACAAAACAAAAAAACACAAAAAACAACAACCAAAAAAACCACAAATAAACAAGCAAAAAAACAACAACCCAACAACAAAAAAGAGGCTGTTGTTAGGCGGAAGGAAAGGACAAATCTGTAGTTTGCTCGCCCCTTTCACCCCCTTGGAAGGAGTTTGAAGTGCGTGTTCTTGCCCTTTGCTCTTGCTCTGTCTTAGCACAGCAGTGCTGACACTGGATCCATTCTTATTTGCCTACATCCTGTTTGCAGGATGTCTGTGCACTCAAGGACAATGCACCCGCACGAGACTTCTGTTTTCTGTCTACCCAAGGCAGCAGTCCTGCTCCTGGAGTCTGTTTTCCTTTTCCATCCACTGCTCTCTGTTAATACCAGCAACACAGATGAGTGTACAGAGACAAGATCTCTGCATAGTCAGAGGTGATGGACTTCTCAAGCCTGTACTACATCTTGCAGTGAAGAGCTGAGTGGGGAAAACAAGGGGCTAGGGTTAAGTCCAAAGCCTGGACCTGTGGACCCTTCCTGGTTACCTGCCTGCCCTTCACATGCTTGAAAATGATCTCCAAGTAACGTTACTCTATGACTTTTCCAAAGATGGAGGTATTGCTTACAGACTGCTGTTTCCCAGAATCTTCTTGCCCTTCTAAAGGTGGGCATAATACTAGTCTTTTCAATCAGCCCTTGCCTAATTGCCATGATATTCCTCTGTGACTGACAGCAGCTTCATACACATCAACCAGCACTGTCAACTCCTTCAAGTGAGTGCCATCCATTCCAGTGATATGAGTATGTCCAGCTTCTCTAAGCTGTCCTTAAACCCCACGTGTGGTCCTCCCATCTCCTTCTCAAGCCATTCTGATGAATGCAGAGATCTGGGAGCAGGCTTTGCCTGTGAAGATGCTAGAAAAATCCATTGATCATTGTAGTCTTTTCCATATTGCCCAGTACCACTCTGTCTCACCCATCCAACAGTGGACGTGCATTTTTCCCAACTTCTAGCATGCCTGTAGGGTCCCGTTGTACTACCATTGATGATCCTCACTAGTCTGAACTGTAGGTGGTCTTGGACAGGCCTGATACTACCTCTAAGTATCCAAGCAAACAATGTTTATTATATTCTTTTGCTGTCTATTGTATTTCCCGTTCTTACATGCATTTTTTTTTGCATTTTAGTGCAAGAAGCTCCCCTTTCTATTCAAGCAGGATTTCTACAGAAAATCCCTGTCTTCCTCCAGAAGGGAAGTCTTGGGAGGTTTAGGACGGACACTGCAAGAAAAACCTTCCCCAGGAGGGATATGGACCCTGGGGATGGCACACTGAGGTGGTGGGAGATCTCCATTCATGGGAGGTTTCAAGGGTTAGTCAGCAATTCCTCAGCTGCGTGACTAATACAGCAACAAACCAGCATCTCAGGAGCACCAAGCCAGAGCCAGTGGAGCATCAGGAGAGCATGGTCCCTGTGCAAAAGAACACTGATGCTTTGGTGGCCGGGAGCTCAGGCCACGGATCATGTCAGCAAGCCCAGAGAAGCCTGCAGGACACTGCCAGGGAAAGAGTGTGGAGCCAAACAGTTGCCTGCGCTTTCCAAACCCGCTTTACAGTGTGTTTCAAAAGCCAAAATTGCGCATGGTATTTACTACTGAGAGCACCTGCCTGGTTGCAAGAGAGAAAGGGATGAGCTGTGAAGTTTTCCATGGTTGGGTCCAACTCATTCAGAGCTGGCAAAGAGATGCTGATGCCATGTCTGGGAGCAGTTCTTCCAGGCGTCTGTGGAGGTGCTGGCTGCTGGCACGTAGGACATTGCAGTATGAGCTCACTGACTGGGTTTTTTTTATACCCTTCAACTTTATCTTGGGAGGGAGAGAAACAGCTTGGTGAAAAATGCAGACTACCATGTGAAACAGAGATGGGCTGAAAAGCCATCCCTGTAGCAGCACTCCACCTATCAAATGCCTCAGTTTTCTCTCACCAAACCACAAGCTGGAACAGAAAAAACTCATTTGAAACAAAATTAAAAAAAAAAAATGATCATCATCATCACCTTATCTCTTTACCATGGGATTTAGTGGTCATTCTAGGGGAAATGCACTGACGAGTCCTCACAGGGAAGAGCAGTGCTGATGAAGGGGTTCTGGAGTCACAACATCGCTTGAGAGGCAGGATGTACCAGCATCCTGGGAGGAGACATCTCTGCGGCATAACTATTGTCCTCCCCATTTCCAGAAACACTGTCAGAGATATATAGGCCCAATGAAGAGCATGATATGCCAGAGGAGAGATCAGCACTGGAGAAAATCAGCTCTGAAGGGAAAATAGATTATTGTTCTGTGGTGGTCCAATTTCTTTGCCTTTCTGACTAAAGTACAACCAGGGCAGATGTGTTCCTACAGAGGAGGCTGTGCTAAGCTCAGCCCAGGCACTGGAGTCTGCATGCGGACCCCTCTAAACATCTCACTAAGCATCAACACCTGGGGGCATGCTTGAGACCAGGAAGAGGAAAGGCTGTGTGAGGACATCAGTGGCACTGGTGAGGTGGGCTGTGGAGGTGAAACAAGTCCGTGGATTCAGTTGCACTCTCAGAATGTCTGAGTTTTGTCCATTTCTTGTAGAAAACACTGACTTCCTGCCTATGTCTGTACAACTCAGTTTTTCACGCAGCTGCTAAGAGTTTGCACCACATATTTTCCAGATCTGGGCAGTTTTCCAAAGTTTGGTCTAAGCAGGAGTCTTACTCTGGAACACAAATCTGAGGGGATGGTTTGGGTGTCTCTGGAGCAATAGGAAGGGGAAGACTATAGCTTTCACCTCACCTGGACAAACCCCTGAGTGACCTAATTCAGATTTACTCTGGTTTTGAGCAAAGAGACTGAGCAAGACCCCTTCAGAGATCCTTTTATGCCTAAATCACTCTAAAACACCATCATTCCTTTAGAAAACACAGTTGATGAGGCAGGGATTGGCTGTGGTTTGGTTACCTCTAACCTGCATGAACATTGTGGTACTTCTCACCAGGAATCCTACAGAAACAATGTCCCAGCACACCTCGTTGATATAACATGGATTGTCCAGATAACACGGGGAACGTGAGTGGGAATTGGGATTGCTCAGGGAGGTCCACCTAGCAGCCCTCAAACCTGTGATCTCACTGAAATGAGAATTTCTGGTGGACAAGAAGCTAGGTGATTGCAGAGGTGGTGTGAAATCAGTAAGGGTATGAACCCTTCACATGTAAAGTGCAGCTGAACATCAGAGGCAGTGATGGCAGCCGCCACTGTGACCAGCTGACGCAGCACTCTGCCTGGGCTCTTGCCCTCTGGAAAATCAGCTTCTTCGAAAATCAGTGTATCTAAACCACTGCCACTGGCCTGCCTCTGAAGCATTTTGTTAAGGAGTGATCTGTCCCACTGGTGCTAGATTATAATGCTGCCCAAAACCATGATTAGACACATAGAGTTGATACATAATAAAGCTTCACTGAGGACTGGAGCATTAGATAGGATAAATGTGCACAAAACCCCATGCTCAGACACACACAACGCACCGTGCAGCAGCCTGAGTGACACTGGCAGCCCAAAAGGGTTTTGTCAGGGTTTGCAACCAGGCAGATG